TTTGTAATAATCCTTTTTTAAACCCTTCCTAAATTAATCAATTTAATTTGCTATCTGTTACTTGCCAGATACTGATCCTAGAAGTAGTACTAAGAGATAATCCAAATGGCTTGCATTGTTCATATATTTGAAGGGTAGCCACATAAATCCATCATGGTGGGAAATGGAACATTGGCAATCTATTGCATCCAGTAGCATCACACTTACTTAAATGATCACCAGTGGCTTCATGGAATGAAGGACAGGTAGACAGCACAGCATTTTTTTTTTTTTTTTCTGTGGCAGAGAGGAATGCAATAATATCATGTGGTGATTTGGCTTCTGCTGCAGTTTAAACCTGGACTATCTGACTTAAACAAACAGGCAGCCAGAAAGCCATATTGCAGTGAATACTCTCCAAGACAAGATGGAAGGAATTACCCAGTATGCCATAGCTGGGTGGTAAACAAATATTTTGTTCAGACATTTGTGGCAATGTCTCATGGATTAGATGGTTCTTAAGGAGTGAGGTTGATGGGAAACCAACCACAGTGATATTTTTCTTCTAAAGTAAAGCATTTTATTTTTACTTGGATAAAAACTAGCTCAGCATGTTCTAGCAGGGCAATAAGACCTCTCACATAATTCTCTGACCTAAGCTAGTGTACAGCAATTGAAAACATGGACTTATGGCAAGGCAAGGTCCCTTTGAGGAGGTAACCTTGAAACTTAGCCAAGGTATACACTGTATGTCTTCCCCCAAGCCTTCTTGTGGATGGCTTGCTGCCATTTATGAGGGTAATCCCATGTTAGGAAAATGGAAGTACCCAGATCTTCTGTGGGTTATTAGATACTGGTTCTGAACTGACACTAATCTACAGAGATGGAAAACACTAGAGGTATATACTTGCCAGTGAGGGTAATAGAAACAATGTAAAAGCTAATTTTAGCCTGATTGCATCTTTCAGTAGGTCCAATGGGACCAGGTATATAGCCAATCATTATTACCCAGACCCAGAAATAATATTGTTATAGATATATAGACAGATAAACAGATTGGAACAAGATCCTCATTCTAGTTCTGTCTCTGACCCATGGAATGAGGGTTATTAGGTTCAAGGTTCAAGGTTCAAGTAGAAGTTGATATTGCTCTGCTGAGGCAGTAAACAAAATCTCAACCTGATGGGAAGTTCGGAGATTAGAGTTTCCATCAAAGACTTGAAGATACAAGGGTGGAGATCCCAATTTATCACCTTTAACTCATTTCTTTGGGGGGAAAGGGATTGAGGATGTGCAAGGTGGAAGTCATGAGAGAACACATTTTACAGATAGACATGCTCTGTGAATGTCAGTCAGCCTCTTTCTCCACACATACACATCTTTCTCCTGTTCATGCTCAACAGGCCCTTGTACAAATGACTTGAGCAACTAGAATGAGCTCAACAACATGTTTTTCTTCACGAAGACTAATTTAACTGTTTCCACCGTATCCCACATGCCAACAACAGAGATCACAACTGTGCCTCTGATATGCTATCATTTTCTGGGAGGATTGGTGAACCACTTGGGTAGCAGGGTGATTAGATTAGACTACTTATTACTAATCTAAAATTACAGAGTTAAAGACTTTCTTTCCAGGAATAATCACATTTTGGGAGATTTATTTGTTTTACATACCTATTTTCCTACCAGTTTTTCTTGTCAGCACCTGCAGATGTAGACTTACATAATGTCTTTTTGTGAACATGGTATCCCACCAAACATCATCTCTACCAAGAAATACATTAGATGGCAAAGGAATAGTAACCATCTCCTCCAATCCACAGAAATAATTGATTTTACTTTTTGCCCTATCATTCAGAAGTGATTCTATAGGAGTCCTCTATACCACACATTTGAAGTGTGATTGACCTGATCAAATCATGGAAGGGCTGTATGAAAGCTCAGTCATGGTTGTTGAGGTGTCTTCTAAGTATGCTGCATGCTTTAAAACAGGAGCCAATGTATGGTTTCATCTTGCTTTATCAAGAATGTACATGTCTGTGAACCAAGGGGATGAGTTGGCATGGCACCTGTGGTGGCCATGAAAACAAGCCTTTCAAAGCTCCAAGTACAGGGAGTATAATTGTGCAAAAGTCCTAGCTGCTGATCTTTGAAATACATTTCCCCATTTTTACCAAGGTCATCTGTTCCCAGCTAATAACTGAGCACAGCAGGAATACCATTCCTCTTAGGCCCTGGATTGATGGCTAATTTTGGCTTGAGTACCTACCTTGCTCAACTTACCATAAACTGAACAATGGTCTAGGATGCTTTTGCCCATCCTTCTTTTCCTCTCTTCTTCACTTGTGCTCAGACTTGCCTCATGATTTAGTGGCACTTCTTGCTTCTTCTGGCTCCCTCTCCATTTTCTCTTACACAGACATGGCTGTTTTCCCTAAGAAAATCCTTGCACTTTTAATTCCAACTTAGTGTCTTCTTCTTGGAGGACCCTGACTACTACAGCCTCTTTTACTATTACATAAAAGAGCTAACGAGATTTTAATTTCTCCACCCATAACCTTATGCTCAGTTTATTTGAAGTCTATGTGCACAAGCTTAGAATGTTCCAAAGGAACACCCCCAATTATCTGATTAATTGGAATCTGGGACTGTACTCAGGCCATGTTGGGCTGCTCATGCATTGATCTAACAGGGGTCACTCCATTGGGTGGGGTGATTGATTTCAATCACCAGGGAGAAATTAGTTAGTGCTACAAAATGAGATCAAGAAGAATTATGTTTGGAACCCAGGGGATTGAGCACTATATTTCATAGTATCCCCTTGGCCTTCTGTTTGAAAAGAAAAGTACTGCAACCAAATAAAAGCAAGATGATCAAAGACTCAGACCTAATAATAAGAAAATACAGACAGCGTACCAGGTAATTCTGATCTAACTGAGGTGTTGAGAAAGAGTGAATGAACCACAGTAATACAAGAAGCAGATAGAGAGTGGACTTTTTAAAAATGTTTAATTTAGTAAAACTTGTATATCTAAATAGTACAACTTAGAAACAACTTTCTTTTAAACTTCAAACTTCATTTGTGACTTGAGTAGTTAAATTCTTTTAGGAATTTATGGTGTAATTAATTATAAGTTAATATGGGAGATTCTTTTGAAAGCACAACCATAAACTGCAGGTGAAGCATTACCAACTGCAATTAAAAAACTTACTGCTAAACTTACACTTAAATATATTCTAAAATGTTTTTTAAAACATTAGTGCCACAAATTTAATTACATTTGTCTTATGTACTTATTTATTTTTACATCTTCTAAGATTATTCTTAGCTGTACTTCATCTTTGCACTAGGGTCTTAGTAAGTTATTTAGACTTGATTCTGGAGTTGAGATAACTTTTTCATACACAACATAATATGACTCTACACTTTGGCCAATGAAAGTTACAGTCTCTGGGTAGATAGTAATAATTATTTGGAAAATAGGAATTAATTGCTTCTTCTAAAAGGATTAAATTAGGAGTTCTTGATAAATAGTTTGAGCATCTTTATTGTAGTAAAAATCAGGATTTACGATATTAGGATGTCTTAAGACCAGTTTTACTTTTTGTAACTGATGTTTCCCTCTGGAATGAGGTATTTTCTAGTTTCACAAAAGCAACATTAGACACTCAATTTTCTGCTGCTGTGGCACACCAATTAGATCTGTTCACATTCCTTAAAAAATATGTTTTATAGGAATTTTACTATTATTAGTGGGAAATAGAGAACTTTTAGAAAACGAGAGTCTGAGTTGGCATGAATAGAACCATTTTAGAACATTGTCTAAATCAAATAGTTTGGAATGACACTGTTGTGTTATGTCTCTGTTGGGGTACTATGTGTTACAACTAATACTGGTTATATGCCTTGGATGTACTTTATGGATTAATGTGTATTATTGCTGGTCCTGATGAGTCTTTCACTCTCTGTGTGGAGCTCCTACAGTTTAGGGGACTACTTGCTTGAATTTCAATTTCTTGTCATGTTTGTTTGTTTACCATTGCTTTTACCAGTAAAACGTATTCATGTTTTATTGATATAAATTATATTTATATAACCTCACTTTTAAAAATCAAAATTAAATGCAACTCATCATATTTACACTTTTGTTTTATCACCGCCTGTGTGTATCACCTATACAAATTTTTCTCTTTTGAGGAATGGGTGGTCATAGACTTTTTTCTCAAATTGTTTCATCTCATTGTAGTTATTATTTTTTATCATAATCATTGTGTTTTGATGCTCAGAATATCACAATTTGGATGTAGAAGACCTTACAAGTTCACCCTTGTAAAATAAAAGAGGAACTCTGGTAGTTACACAGTGATTTACAAAAATCATATCTATGGAAACTTGACTGATTTTTTATTAGTTAAAGGACTTATGTAAGAAAAATAGATTGGGGAGATCATGCTTGCTGAGTCTAGTTGTACCAAGTTATTTCATGCGTGCCTCTGGGTCTTTGTGATAATGCTTCTGGGGGCAAAAAGTGCATATAAAAATGCTTCAGAAATCCCATTAAGGGAATAGAAAATGATAATTTCAACCAATTAATTTTCATAAGAAAATATGAAAAATTAACTCAGCCTATTTGTTCCTAGTTTTTAGGAAATAACCATATAGATACTATATGTCAATCAGCCATAAATATTCTCATGCTAAAGGAGTGGGCTATTCTGTCACATTATGAAGGGAGAGGAGAATTTTTGGTTTTAAGTTTTTTATTTGTTTTTAATCTAGAGCAACATGAAATTCAATACAAATTCTTAAATTTTATATTTATATTTAAATTCTGTCTCCTATATTGTTCTAATCTTCTCTTATATCTTTTAAGTTGTCATGTATCGAAAATGCAAATTCTTTAACTTTCATTGAAAGAATTCTTAATCATGATGGAACACAATGGCAGCTCTTCTTGAAATAAAATAACCTGATCAAAAATTGTCATTGCATCTCCCTGGAAGGAGAGAATCTTGATTTACTTAATGAGTGTATTCAGAGCCTCTTTCACATCCTTATTCCTCAAGCTATAGATCATGGGATTCCACATAGGGAACACTACCGTGTAAAATGTAGAAATTATTTTGTCCCTGTCCAAAGAATAGCTAGATTGGGGACGAGAGTAGATGTAGAGAATGGAGCCATAGTACAGGGTGACAAAGACCAGGTGGGAGGAACACGTGGAGAAGACTTTGAGGTGGCCCTGGGTGGAGCGGATCCTCAAAATGGTGGCAATGATGAACAGGTAGGAGGCGAGGATGAACACTGTGGGGATGATGACATTGGAGGCCAGGAGGAAGTACAGCACAGTCTGATAACCATCTTTCCTGCCACAAGCCAACTTCACCAGGGGTGGGACATCACAGAAAAAGTCATCAATGACATTGCCACTACAGAAATTCAAGGCAAAAGTTCTTTTGGTGATGATGGAAGAGTTAGTAAAGGTACCAAGGTATGAGGATGTTACCAAAAATGCACAAAGCTTTATAGACATAGCCTGAGAATAAAGCAGTGGCTTTGAGATGGCAACATAGTGGTCATAAGCCACGGCGGCCAATAGGTAACACTCACTGTATGCCAGCCCCGCAGAGAAGAAGAACTGACATACACAGCCAGCAAAAGAGATGCTTTTGTCTTCAGAGATGCAGGTCACCAAGATCTTTGGAGCATAGACAGAGGAATACCAGAGATCCAGAAAGGACAGATTCCCAGTGAAGAAATACATAGGTGTGTGCAGCCGGGAGTCATTACAGATCAATATTATGAGGGTGGTATTTGCTACAAGAGTCAGAGAGTACATGCTAAGGAATACCACAAACAGGACAAGCTGTATCACCGGGTCTGTCGTGAAGCCCACCAGGATGAACTCAGTCAGTGTGTGGTTGCTTCTCTCCATGGCTCACCTAAGACAAGAGAAAATATATGTTAAGAAAAAAAAAAGATAGCAGGAGGGGAGGAAAGAATGGGGGGAAATCGGAAGGGGAGACAAACCATGAGAGACGATGGACTCTGAAAAACAAACTGAGGGTTCTGGGGGGGTGGGGGGATGGGTTAGCCTGGTGATGGCTATTAAAGAGGGCACGTTCTGCGTGGAGCACTGGGTGTTATACACAAACAATGAATCATGGATCACTACATCAAAAACTAATGATGTAATGTATGGTGATTAACATAAAATAAAAAAAATTAAAAAAAAAAGAATTTGCTGCAGTTGAGGTCGAAGAGGTTGCTGCCTGTGCTCTCTTTTAGGATTTGGATAGATTCCTGTCTCACATTTAGGTCTTTCATCCATTTTGAGTCTATTTTTTGTGTGGTGTAAGGAAATGGTCCAGTTTCATTCTTCTGCATGTGGCTGTCCAATTTTCCCAACACCATTTGTTGAAGAGATTGTCTTTTTTCTATTGGCCATTCTTTCCTGCTTTGTTGAAGACTAGTTGACCATAGAGTTGAGGGTCCATTTCTGGGCTCTCTATTCTGTTCCATTATCTATGTGTCTGTTTTTGTGCCAGTACCATACTGTCTTGATGATGACAGCTTTGTAATAGAGCTGGAAGTCTGGAATTGTGATGCCGCCAGCTTTGCTTTTCTTTTTCAACATTCCTCTGGCTATTTGGGGTCTTTTCTGGTTCCATACAAATTTTAGGATTATTTGTTCCATCTTTGAAAAAAGTGGATGGTATTTTGATGGGGATTGCATTGAATGTGTAGATTGCTCTAGGTAGCATTGACATCTTCACAATGTTTGTTCTTCCAATTCATGAGCATGGAACGTTTTTCCATTTCTTTGTGTCTTCCTCAATTTCTTTCATGAGTATTTTATAGTTTTCTGAGTACAGATTCTTTGTCTCTTTGGTTAGACTTATTCGTAGGTATCTTATGATACCTAAATTTTGGGTGCAATTGTAAATGGGATTGACTCCTTAATTTCTCTTTCTTCTGTCTTGTTGTTGGTGTATAGGAATGCCACTGATTTCTGTGCATTGATTTTATATCCTGCCACTTTACTGAATTCCTGTATGAGTTCTAGCAGTTTTGGGGTAGAGTCTTTTGGGTTTTCCACATAAAGAATCATATCATCTGCAAAGAGTGAGAGTTTGACTTCTTTGCCGATTCAGATGCCTTTGATTTCTTTTTGTTGTCTGATTGCTGTGGCTAGGACTCCTAACACTATGTTGAATAGCAGTGGTGATAGTGGACATTCCTGCCATGTTCCTGACCTTAGGGGGAAAGCTCTCAGTTTTTCCCCATTGAGAATGATATTCGCTGTGGGTTTTTCATAGATGGCTTTTATGATATTGAGGTATGTACCCTCTATCCCTATACTCTGAAGAGTTTTGATCAAGAAAGGATGCTGTACTTTGTCAAATGCTTTCTCTTCATCTCTTGAGAGGATCTTACCGTTCTTGTTCTTTCTTTTACTAATGTATTGTATCACATTGATTTGCGGGTGTTGAACCAACCTTGCAGCACAAGAATAATCCCACTTGGTCGTGGTGAATAATCCTTTCAATGTACTGTTGGATCCTATTAGCTAGTATTTTGGTGAGAATTTTTGCATCCATGTTCATCAGGGATATTGACCTGTAATTCTCCTTTTTGATGGGGTCTTTGTCTGGTTTTGGGATCAAGGTAATGGTGGCCTCATAAAACGAGTTTGGAAGTTTTCTTTCTATTTCTATTTTTTTGGAAGAGTTTCAGAAGAATAGGTATCAATTCTTCTTTAAATGTCTGTTAGAATTCCCCTGGGAAGCCATCTGGCCCTGGGCTTTTGTTTCTTGGGACATTTTTGATGACTGCTTCAATTTCCTTAGTGGTATAGGTCTGTTCAGGTTTTCTATTTCTTCCTGGTTCCGTTTTGGTAGTTGATACATCTCTAGGAATGCACGCATTTCTTCCAGGTTATCTAATTTGCTGGCATAGAGTTGCTCATCATATGTTCTTATAATTGTTTGTATTTCTTTGGTGTTGGTTGTGATCTCTCCTCCCTCATTCATGATTTTGTTGATTTGGGTCATTTCTCTTTTCTTTTTGATAAGTCTGGCCAGGGGTTTATTAATCTTATTAATTCTTTCAAAGAACCAGCTCCTAGTCTCGATCTGTTCCATTGTTCTTTGGTTTCTATTTCATTGATTTCTACTCTGATTTTTATTATTTCTCTCCTCCTGCTGGGTTTAGGCTTTATTTGCTGTTCTTTCTCCAGCTCCTTTAGGTGTAGGGTTAGGTTGTGTATTTGAGACCTTCCTTGTTTCTTGAGAAAGGCTTGTATTGCTATATACTTACCTCTTAGAACAGACTTTGCTGTATCCCAAAGATTTTGAACAGTTATGTTTTCATTTTCATTAGTTTCCATGAATTTTTTAAATTCTTTAATTTCCTGGTTGACCCATTCATTCTTTAGTAGGATGCTCTTTAGCCTCCATGTATTTGAGTTCTTTCTGACTTTCCTCTTGTGATTGAGTTCTAGTTTCAAAGCATTGTCATCTGAAAATATGCAGGGAATAATCCCAATCTTTTGGTACTGGTTGAGAACTGATTTGTTACCTAGTATGTGATCTATTCTGGAGAATGTTCCATGGGTACTAGAGAAGAATGTGTATTCTGTTGCTTTGGGATGGAATGTTCTGAATATGTCTGTGAAGTCCATTTGGTCCAGTGTGTCATTTAAAGTCTTTATTTCCATGTTGATCTTTTGCTTAGATGATTTGTCCATTTCAGTGAGAGGGGGTGTTAAAGTCCCCCACTATTATTATATTGTTGTCAATGTGTTTCTTTGCTTTTGTTATTTATTGGCTTATACAATTGGCTGCTCCCATGTTAAGGGCATAGATATTTACAATGTTAGATCTTCTTGTTGGATAGACCCTTTAAGTAGGATATTGTGTCCTTCCTTATCTCTTATTGTGGTCTTTGGTTTAAAATCTAATTTGTCTGATATAGGGATTGCCACCCCAGCTTTCTTTTGGTGTCCATTGGCCTGGTTAAGTGTTTTCCACCCCCTCACTTTCAATGTGGGGGTGTCTTTGTGTCTAAAATGAGTCTCTTGCAGACAGCATATTGATGGGTCCTGTTTTTTTTATCCAATCTGATAGCCTGTGTCTTTCGATTGAGGCATTTAGCCCATTTACATTCAGGGTAACTATTGAAAGATATGAGTTTAGTGCCGTTGTATTGCCTGTAAGGTGACTATTACTGTATATTGTCTGTGTTCCTTTCCAGTTTATGTTACTTTTCAGCTCTCTCTTTGCTTAGAGGACCCCTTTCAATATTTCTTGGAGGGCTGGTTTCGTTTTTGCAAATTCCTTTAGTTTTTGTTTGTCCTGGAAGCTTTTTATCTCGCCTCTATTTTCAGTGACAGCCTAGCTGGATATAGTATTCTTGGCTGCATATTTTTTTCTCATTTAGTGCTCTGAATATATCATGCCAGTCCTTTCTGGCCTGCCAGGTTTCTGTGGATAGGTCTGTTGCCAATCTAATGTTTCTACCATTGTAGGTTACAGATCTTTTCTCCCAAGCTTCTTTCAGGATTTTCTCTTTGTCTCTGAGACTCATAAGTTTTACTATTAGATGTCAGGGTGTTGACCTATTTTTATTGATTTTGAGAGGTGTTCTCTGTGCCTCCTGGATTTTGATGCCTGTTTCCTTCTCCAAATTACAGAAGTTCTCTTTATAATTTGCTCCAATATGCCTTCTGCCCCTCTCTCTCTTTCTTCTTCTTTTGGGATCCCAATTATTCTAATGTTTCACCTTATGTTATTGCTTATCTCTCGATTTCTGCCCTCGTGATCCAGTAGTTGTTTATCTCTCTTTTTCTCAGCTTCTTTATTTTCCATCATTTGGTCTTCTATATCACTAATTCTCTCTTCTGCCTCCTTTATCCTAGCGGTTAGTGCCTCTTATTTTGATTGCACCTCATTAATAGCCTTTTTGATTTTGACTTGGTTAGATTTTAGTTCTTTCATCAATATCTTTTATTTTTTAATGTACAAATCTTTCACCTCCTTGGTTAAATTTATTCCTAAATATCTTATTTTTTTTGATGCTATGGTAAATGGGATTGTTTTCTCAATTTCCCTTTCAGATAGGCTAACTGTAAGTGTATAGGGATGCAACTGATTTTTTATCCTGGAGCTTTACTGAAATTTTTCTTATTAGTTCTAACAAGGTTTGATGGAGTCTTTTAGGTTTTCTATATGATTTCTGTATGATTATTTTCTATATGATTTCTATATGATTCTATGTGATTTCTATATGATTTTTTCTATATCATTTTTATGATTTCTATATGATTTCTATGTGTTTCGATATGATTTTCTATATGATGATTATGTCATCACATAATCAATAGGATCCCATATTGCTTCAAAAAACCTCCAGAATTTTTTTATTTTTATTTTTTAATTTAAATTCAAGTAGCCAACTTATAGTACATCATTAGTTTCAGATGTAGAGTTCAGTAATTCACTGGTTGTGTATAATACCCAGTTCTCATCACATCATATGCCTTCCTTAATGCCCATCACCCAAGTACCCTATCCCCTCACCCACCTCCTCTCCAGCAACCCCCAGTTTGTTTCCAACAGTTAAGAGTCTCTCATGGTTTTTCTCCCTCTCTGATTACTTCCTATTCAGTTTTCTCTCCCTTCCCCTATGGTCCTCTGCACTCTTTCTTATATTCCATATATGAGTGAAACGATATGATAATAGTCTTTCTCTGATTGACTTATTTTGCTCAGCATAATACCCTCCAGTTCCATCCACATCTATGTAAATGATAAGTATTCATCCTTTCTGATGACTGAGTAATATTCCATATCTTCTTTATCTATTCATCTGTCAATGGACATCTTGGCTCTTTCCATACTTTGGCTATTGTGGGCTTTGCTGCTATAAGTATTG